GATTTAAACTGACTTTTCTGGTCAACTTAAATACGACTAATGATGCAAAATATGATGAATGAAGATATTTACTAATGATTGTGACCAATTGACAAAATATGGTATGAATGTGCGACTGAAAAAAAATAGGGGCGAAATTAAGGGTGCAACGGTGTGCCTTGATGAATCAGTCTTCGAGAATCCACAATCAACCGTACTTTTGGCTTGGGAGACTCAAAACCTTAATTGAGGCGCGACACCTGATGCTCTTGATTCAGACCTGTCTCTGCACATGACACAAAAGAAAACATGAACAATACACCTTTGTATGTGATTAGAAATTAGTGATACATATGCTAAAAATGTTCAAAACACTTGACAATCTTCGCATAGTCAAAGCTCGAAGGTGAGAGGTTAAAACCGACCGTATTTAGTGACCTTGACTTTTGTATAAAAAATGAAAAAATGCAAGTGGGATCTTAGGTCAAAAATTGGGGTATGACAGCTGCCCCTATTTAAGTTTCTTCTATCTGACGAGATTGAATGGACTTAAATATAGAATACACAATTTTTGGCTTTAAGATACCGCAATTATGTTTATCATATGATATGAATGTGATGTTTTGAATTTTATGGGGAATGACGCCATATGAGACAAACTATGCTGGAGAAACCAAGCATATTATAGTAATCCCACTAGGGAAGAGATTATAACTCCACTGGGGAAACAGAGTCATAGACTTCAAATGAGAGACTGTTATTAGAGAATAACTTTGAGGGAAGAAATGAATGATTTACATCAGTATTGAGGCTGGTGAAGGGAAATGATTGATATTAACATTGTGAATGGAAAAGGAAATGATTGACATCAGTACTGAGACTGGAAAATGATTGACATCAGCACTGTGGCTGGAAAACAAAATGATTGACATCAGCATTGTGGCTGGAAAACAAAATGATTGACATCAGCACTGTGGCTGGAAAACAAAATGATTGACATCAGCACTGTGGCTGGAGATAACATCTCTGATTTCTGAATTTCACCAAGAACGGTAACACACTTCTTCTCTAACCAAGATGTCGCTTGAAAAGGATAAAATAACAAACTTCTCCACGGGACTTTTCCGAAGGGATGCCATTTGCTGAGTAGACATTATTGTTGGGGATACACAAGCTGCTCAAATAAAGAGGCCGCCACTTGCTTCCTTTCAAAGGTGTCAATAACATACAAGCTGCTCATGAAGAGACCGCCACTTGCTGTCTTCAAAGAACATTAAAGCACACAAGCTGCTCATGAAGAGTCCGCCACTTGTTGCCAAAAACCCACAAGCTGCTCATAAAGAAGCTGCCACTTGCCGTCTTCAAAGAATATTAAAGCACACAAGCTGCTCATGAAGAGTCCGCCACTTGTTGCCAAAAACCCACAAGCTGCTCATAAAGAAGCTGCCACTTGCCGTTTTCAAGGGAACAATAACACACAAGTTGCTCAAATAGATAAGCTGCCACTTGCCGTCTTCCAAAAATACTAACGTACAAGCTGCTCATGAAGAAGCTGCCACTTACCGTTTTCCGTACAAGCTGCTCATGAAGAGACCGCCACTTGCCGTTTTCAAAAAGTGTTGATAACATACAAGTTGTCCATGAAGAGGCTGCCGCTTGCTATTTTTTTTAAAAATGTTGATAACATACAAGTTGTCCATGAAGAGACTGCCGCTTGCTGTTTTTAAAAAGTGTTGATAACATACAAGTTGTCCATGAAGAGACTGTCGCTTGATGTTTTCAAAGGTGACAATAACATACAAGTTTCTCATGAAGAGACCTCCGCTTGCTGTTTTCAAAAGTAACAATAACACACAAGTTGCTCAAATAGATAAGCTGCCACTTGCCGTCTTCCAAAAATACTAACGTACAAGCTGCTCATGAAGAAGCTGCCACTTGTCGTTTTCCGTACAAGCTGCTCATGAAGAGACCGCCACTTGCCGTTTTCAAAAAGTGTTGATAACATACAAGTTGTCCATGAAGAGGCTGCCGCTTGCTATTTTTAAAAAGTGTTGATAACATACAAGTTGTCCATGAAGAGACTGCCGCTTGCTGTTTTCTCAAAGATACCCATAAAATATCATGAAGATATTGCTGGAGGTGAGAATCAATAATTTCATCGAGGGTGGACAAACTGCTCATGAAGAGACCGCCATTTGTTGTAGAGAAATCAGAAATAATCAAACTGCTCAAATAAAGAGTCACTCGCTTGTTGTCATGTCGATATTCCAGAAGAAGGTTGTGATAACACTGCTGGGGAATAAAGTTCATCTTCAATGGGGAACCATGAATAAATCCTTCTTGAGGAGACCAAGTATTTACGTTGCAAAATAAATGCACTCTCCATCTAGGTTTCATTGCCTAGAGAGATCCACAGGGTATCGTTCACAAGAGACAAAGCTCAATCCAGGAATAAACTGGAGAGAAAATAGTCAAACAAGACTCCACCCAATGAGGAAACAACTCAAATGGGGATTTATCCTATCCAGAGATGGAAAAGGAAAGCTAAAGCAAGATTCTTCCACGAGAGTTAACTCAGTGGGGAATTAGAAAAGAGGCGCACTTTCTGCTTAAGTTGACACTCTATTTGGAAATATCAAATATGCTATTTGAATAGACATAACCAAGGTATACGAACTCAAAGATATCAACAAATACAAATGTGCGTGCATGATGCAAGTATGAACGAATGAATGAATGTCATGTATATGTTGACAAAACAGACAGGGGAGATAGACAGAAGATGATAAGACGTCCCAGTACAACCCGACGCTCAGCTAATCTCAACAAAAGGGGAACATTACTGGAGATAAAAACAAAAGCCATCATTGGAGCAAAGTCCTTTTACAAGGCTTAAATCTCTTTTGAGAGGAAGATATTATTTTTGGTAGAAAATCCAAAGTCCAATCTTCTAATGTCAATAATTCGTTGAAAGGATAACAACACGAGCAATGCTTCAGTTGGAAAAAGTCTTGCTTAGTTGGAGATACTGGGAAAACCACCCTCTGATGATGTGTGCAAAACATATCACACATCTTGACAAATCTGGATTGCCCCTGGGACTAATTTTGGATGCCCCAAGCTTATTGCTAATAAGCTGCGTGATGCACGACAATTCTTGCGAATAACTTCACGTTTAAAATGCCCCAAGCTATATGGATGATGAGGAGAAATCGTCTCAAGAGGATTTTACAAAAGACCTGGCATCCACCATGCTCTGGTGTCTTCAAACTCTTAGAGAGATGCGTCTAATCTCGACGTGATTGCCCCGGATTGACTGTAGTTAGCACAACAAAGTCTTCAAATTTTGTCCCAAAAGGGTAAACAAGTTGGAGAAGCATTAACTGGGAGAAGCAACATGTTTGTGCTTAAGGTCTTCATGTGGCATTCCTCTGGATATGATTTTTTTGAAATGATTCGCCAATTACTCAACATAGTTTCAGGCCTTAAAAGAATAAACTCATCGCTAGTGCTTATATGTGAGCTTCCTTGATATCAAAGAAATGTTTTGCAGTTAGAAAAAGTTTATTATGAGAATTAAAATTCTAATGCAACAGTTATGTAAGTCTTGAAGATTTTGAAAAGATATCGCACAAATTTTGCGAGTTAGAGCACCATTTATTTTTGTGTAGGAAAAACATATGATACCAACATAACTATTTAGAACATTCATGGGAGTCAGGAACACTATCTCATTGAAGTATGCTTTCAAAATAACCTTGCTTCAATTAGGACTTTTGAAGGTTGTAACATGGTCTGGTTCACGGTTTTTTTAGAAAAAGGTTTTTTAAGGCTCAAAATTTATAAGTGCCCGCCCATTCTTCATGATGTTCTTCAGTCCTATGTTCAGTTAATTCAATATGAGTGTTCATCTCTCAAAAGGATTTTGTGACGGTTAAGGAAACGACGAGGCTTTCGGAGTAGAAACCACCCTCATGTCTTCGTGTTTGTAGTCACCAATTTGTTCTTTGCTGAGGAATTTTCTTTGTAGTCCTTTCTTTGCAATTTTTATTTTCCCTAACTTTTTCCTGAACTAATTCTTTTGAATTGATAGTCCAGCGGGATGCCTTAGTTTTTGCCTAAGTCGTAAGTTTTCATGTTTTTGACTTAGCAGGCTTTTTCTTTTTCTTGATTTTTGACTTTTTGAACAAAATGTGTGACATTAGCTTGTCTTTACTGGTTGAGAGGATTGTGACTGCCTCGTTTCTTGATGAATGAGGGATAACATTGTGGTTCCACATCTTCTGGCTTCATTATACATGAAGGATGGCCCTCGCAGTTTCTCTTCAGAAATATCTTCCTTTTGAATTTTGAACACTCAATCGGATTAACTGAAAACTACCCTGCCCCAGGTTAAAATTCAAGGTTTTTTCGTATAGAAAGGAAACTCCTACTTCAAGGCTCAAAAGAGGTTAGCAAGGGATTATCTTCCTTATATCTCCAGTGTTTAGGGATTTGAAACAATGCATGTACATCATCAGCAAGATTTTATCCAAAAGCATGAAACCAGAGATTTTGTGTTCTTTAGATCATCATCCTCCCTTCAATCTCTGCCTAGGTAAGAGAATGGGCAACAAGTTGGTATCATAATGCAAAAAGAAATTTAAAATTTGAAAACAAATATGTGTGAAACAAATGAATTTCTTCAAGACAAACATGCTCATTGTATTAAGATAATCATTCAAATGCAAACAATGTTTTGATAAACAAGAAAAATTGCAACAAGCAGAAATAAGTTAATGATCGGGGAAGGCTTTCCATCTGGACTTGAATCACCGAAAACATCCTTCAAAACTCAAAGTGACCATCAATCGTGTTTACTCTTCGGCACGTGCTTGATTTGAACTTCAAAACCAACGTCCTTGAATTACAATCAGTGAATACTTTTATCATTGCTTCCTCCTTCTTAGAAGGATTGACTTGGGAAGCAACCAAAATTTCAACCAAAACTGTTGAGTGATTCATACCAGCTTCCAAAATAGTCATCTCTCTACGGAGTTCAGAAACCTCTTGCTTGATATTCTCCATTGTTCTCTTACCGCGAGTGTTGTACTGGTGAGACCAAAGGAAAAATAAGACTCGGAAAAAGACCTTTGAAAGTGAAACAAAAAATGTAGAATGATGTATGATATGCAAAAGAGAGTTTTTATTTGATTTTCAAGGAACTCAAGATATTAAGTTGTAAACATCAAAGTATGAAGATAGAAGATGAATTTTAAATTGGCTCCAAACATTGATCAAGTTATCATCAAGATCAATCATCCATTTTGGTGGATTAGGGTTTTCGCCCTATCAACACCTAAGATCCATTGAGCTTGACGAAACTTGTGATGTTTACAAAGAAAGACCTCCAAATTCCTTCAAAGTCAAGTGAAAAGGGTTTTATGGATGCATGAATGCATGGCTATGCAACAACCACAAGCAAGGTCACAAATAAAGTCGAAAGGTTCAACGTCACGAGCATGGAGTCAAGGTAAGGAACACCCCCAAGGTATGTACTAACGGTTTAATCACACCTGTAGAACAAGGTTCTAAGAGTTCCCGGAGTCTACATTCCTCCTTCGGATATTACCAACGTCTTGATTACTCAATAATCAGCAATATTCTCAAGAGAAACTCATCTGAGCGTAGCATCGCGTAACAATTACTTCCGGATTACTCCGTTATAATCTCCGTGCTACACCTAAAAGGCCAAGATGGGTTAGGGTTCTACGGTTCCCAGCTTCTCTGGCTCCCAGGTCGAAAATAATAATGTCTTCCCGATTACTCGGTAAACAAATATTACGTTCAAAAGGGCCTTCCACTGAGTGGGGGATCTCAAGCCTCCTTCTTCGGGATTACTCCCTCAAAGTTAACATGACTATACCGCCCGTCCTATTCCTAAGTGTAACTTAGTCCGGGTATAGGACTTGTCCTTTGTAAATATTATCAACACCCAAATAATCATAATATATACATATAATCAAACAATCAAATAATGATAAAACAGATAAAACAAATTAGGCTTAACCCACTTAGGGATGGACCAGCAAGAGGTCAATCTTTCCCCAGCAGAGTCGCCAATTCTGTAGCGGTGAAAATCGGAGATCAAGCTATTAATTAACTTGACTCACAAAAGCAAGAGTCGCCACCGCGCTTTATTATTTCCAAGGAAAAAAGGAAAAGAGAGAAATAAAACCCTAAAATATGCAATGTAAAGTAATATTTAAAATTAATGAAAATACAATGTGTTTTTAAAAGAGATCGAGAGTTCCGGGGTTGGTTATACAATGGGAAGGTATTAGCACCCAATGCATCTGCGGTACTCCGCAGGAACCTTTTGAAATATATGTTTTTGGTTAAAATTGTTTGTTTGATTAAAATGGTTCATTTGGCTAAAAATAGTTGTTGGCGAGATTTTCAAGATGTGATAACCTAATGTCGAAGTTTTGACTTAAAAAGGGGTGTGAGTTTAAAATTGATTTGTAGGAGATTTGTCTTAAGATTAATAAAACTAAAAAAAGTATGAAGGTATTTCACATAATCGTATTAGATACTCGATGACATGAAGTCAACAAATTAATTCTTTCCCTTGGATTTAAAGCCACTGACAGATAAATAAGCTAAGAGTATATCAAACCTCGGGTGAAAATAAATCACAAGCCGACAGCATCAAAAAACCTGATGTAAGATAATACTCCAAGCATCAGATAAAGCGCATCAAGTGAAAATAAATCACATACCAGAAAAGCGTGTCAGGGGAGGAATCAGATAAAGCGCAAAGGCGATGGATAAAGCTCACGGTATCAGATAAGAATCTCTGCATCACAAGAGATATACCGATAAATCTAACAGCACGGGGAAACTTATATGCGTTCGTACGATTTTCAAAAGTTAATTTGAATTAAAATTCAAAATCGCAACGCAATAGAAAAAAATATTTACATAACCTGATTTTATTTACAAGTAAAGTGAGTAAAATATAAAATCAAAAGTATTATGTACAATTATATATTTACCTTACTAAATATTAAATCGAAATAGAAAAAACATATAAAAAGGTAATGAAGAAAAATTATGGATATGCTATGCGAGAATGAATGCTGGAAACAATTCTCGAAGACCTTCACAATAACAAACTCGTTAGTAGTATGAGAAGGATAAAAATGAAATGAAAATTTACATTATTTACATTTAAAGAAAACCAAAATAATAAGATAAAATGAATATATAAAAATATCTAAATTATTGTGATGTTATTAAATAAAATAAAATATATATTAAAAGAAAAGTTAAAAGGTTAGTACTGAGGGAGTATATATGTGTCACGATTTATAAAACAAAATTGTAAATGCAGCTAGCAGCATTATTAATTAAGCAAATGATATAAGAAAATTAATTAATGATACTCTTTGAAAATATAAAACTAAACATCCCTTAACTCACCAAACGTAAACCTTATTGTTACTAAAAAAATAAAATAGAATCTATCTATTATTATTTATTATAATTCAATTAAAATAACTCAAAACATATAATTAAAACACAAAGAAGTAGAAGATTGAAATAGAAAATAATATTTACCAAAATAAAAAAAAAACGGTGACAATGGGTATGTGAATAGAAGGGCGGTCCTGGGAGTTGTGTGGTTACTGAGATAGATGAAGGTTTAATTTCTCAGATCTAGGTTTCAATTGAGATTGTGAAGGTGCACGACGAAAATGAGCGTGACTGGTACGATTCGACAAATTGATAACCTGTTTGAATCGAATGAAATGCTCCATGCTTTTCAATCCAGCAGAAGCAGCTTCTTGTATAACAAACTGTTCTTCCATTCCCATTTTCGGAATCATAACCGGATGGTAATGGTTGTTGTTCGCTTGAGAAGGTGAGGGAGAGATAATTGTTTTTACTGTTTGGTGTGTGTCAAAGAGAGAAGAGGGAGTGATTGAAAAGAAGGGTGGTGATGGAAATGGATGAAGAAAAAATGGGTTAAAAGGGTTACTGTGTGTATGGCATGGAGAGATGGGATGAATTGAAAAAGGATGTTGTTAGCTTGGTTTATTATTTGTTTTTTGTGTGTCCCCCCATTACAAAGAGATAAAGAAGCTTAAAATAGAGAAAATGAAAAGGAATATTATGATTTCATAATAAATCCAAACCGTTCAATATAAATTTAATCTCTATCAATCCGCAAATCATGCTATCAACCAATGAGAATTAAGCAAAGCCTAATTAATATTTTTTGTGACCAAAAAGTCCCTGAATGACCAAAATAAAATAAAAACCTGAAACTATAAAAAATAAATCAATTTAAAATAATTTTTTTGAATTTTTTTAAATAAAAAATAAAGACCCAAAATGATCGAAAACGATAAAAAGAACGGACGAAAATTTATCCGAAAAAATAAAATGAACACGTTAAAATACTCTACATGTCACAAAGATTAAAGAAAAAATAAAAAGAGTAAAAATAGGAATAAAATGATAATGAAAATACCAGGCTAAACAGACATTTTACGGTTAAAAATGAGACTTCAAACTGTATCGAAAAAATAAAGCGAGCATACCGTCATAATCTATGCGAGATGCAGATTCATAAAATGATCGGTAAAAGGTGAAAACTTGAAATATTTTTCTCGCTAATTTTTCGCACATTGTTGAATCACTTTTAACAGTTTGTCTATAAAACCAAAATATTTTTATTATCGACATATAAACAACTTGGAGCAATGCAAGAAACGAGTAAAGAGATAAAAATGCATGAAGTGAAATGTCAGGTATTTTTTTAACTAAAAGACGATGCAAACTTTGATTTAAACTGACTTTTCTGGTCAACTTAAATACGACTAATGATGCAAAATATGATGAATGAAGATATTTACTAATGATTGTGACCAAATGACAAAATATGGTATGAATGTGCGACTAAAAAAAATAGGGGCGAAATTAAGGGTGCAACGGTGTGCCTTGATGAATCAGTCTTCGAGAATCCACAATCAACCGTACTTTTGGCTTGGGAGACTCAAAACCTTAATTGAGGCGCGACACCTGATGCTCTTGATTCAGACCTGTCTCTGCACATGACACAAAAGAAAACATGAACAATACACCTTTGTATGTGATTAGAAATTAGTGATACATATGCTAAAAATGTTCAAAACACTTGACAATCTTCGCATAGTCAAAGCTCGAAGGTGAGAGGTTAAAACCGACCGTATTTAGTGACCTTGACTATTGTATAAAAAATGCAAAAATGCAAGTGGGATCTTAGGTCAAAAATTGGGGTATGACAACTCGCACACGCGCACTCTTAGGGTACACCCCACTTGGTTGCCTTCGTACACGGTCATTGAGTATAGGTCGCTTTAGAGGTCGCCCTCTTGTCTAAAAGATCATAGTTGCCTCGAAATGGTTGCCTCGGATATAATTGCCTCAAACAAATGATCTAAGACATTAGGGTTACCGCTAAAGCGTCTTAACATTGCTTTAGTGACTGTATGTCCCTCATTTGAATTGACCCTTAAACTCCAACGACGGTGCTACCTACTCATTCATAGTGGGATAGCATTGCCTAAAGGACATTAGCATAGAACGATTCTTTTTTAGAGTAGGTAGATGGTTCTTAGATACTTGCTCTTTCAAAAAACAAAACCTTTTTCACACTTACACTCCTTTTCGAACAAAGTTTTCCAAACACTTCATTACCCTCTTGAGGACAGAAGCAAGAGTTAAATCGAAGTTTTAAAACAAAAACTTTTTCAAACCCACAAGGAAAAAGAAAGAAATTTTTGAAAACAATTGAGCAAGTACCTAAGAGCCCGTGGATAACCACGGATATAAAGGGTGCTAATACCTTCCCTTTCTATAATCTACCCCCCGAACCCGAGAAAAATCTCGAAAAAGGAATTTTTCTGTGCTTTATTCCTTTCCTTGTTGGATAAAATAAAAGTCGGTGGCGACTCTTTCTTACCGCGACATTTTGCAAACAAAAAACGCAAAACACAAACCAGCATTCCAAAAAACAGTCAGTTCTTCCCACCGTATCACACTAATCTACCAAGCCGAAGACAAAGGTGAGGAAGATTGTGAAGTACCAGGGGAACTTGTCAGACTATTAGAGCGAGAGGAAAGAGCTATTCAGCCTCATGAAGAACCGGTGTATACAATCAACTTAGGTACTGAGGAGAATAGAAAAGAAGTCAAAGTAGGCGCCAATCTAGAGGCCAGCGTCAAAGAGCGTTTGATTCAGCTTTTACGTGATTATGATGAGATCTTTGCCTGGACATATGAAGACATGCCGAAGCTTGATATAGACTTCATGGTACATCGCCTGCCAACAAGAGAAGACTGTCCACCAGTAAAACCAAAAGTCCGCCGCATGAGACATGATATTTCAGAAAAGATCAAAGCGGAAGTCATGAAACAATTCAATGCTGGATTCTTGGCTGTCACTTCCTATCCCCAATGGGTTACCAACATTGTTCCCGTGTCTAAAAAAGACGGCAAAGTACGAATGTGCATGGACTATAGAGATTTGAATAGGGCCATCCCTAAAGATGATTTTCCACTTCCCCACATAGATATCTTGGTTGACAACACAGACCAGCACAAGGTGTTTTCCTTCATGGGCGGATTCTCAGGTTACAATCAAATTAGAATGGCACCTGAGGATATGGAGAAAACTACATTTGTCACACAGTAGGGAACATTATGCTACAAGGTGATGCTATTCGGACTGAAAAATGTTGGGGCCACCTATCAGCGCGCCATGGTAGCTTTGTTTCATGATATGATACACCATGAAATAGAGGTCTACGTAGACAATATGATAGCCCGATCAGAAATTGAAGAAGAACACCTTGATTACTTGCAAAAGTTGTTTGAGAGATTGAAGGAGTACAAGTTAAGATTGAACCCAAACAAGTGCATATTTGGAGTACGGTCCGGTAAAATCTTAGGTTTTATTGTCAGTAACAGGGGTATTGAGGTTGATCCTGCCAAAGTTAAAGCAATACAAGAAATTCCTGCTCCTCGTACTGAGAAGGAAGTAAGAGGACTCTTGGGGCACCTAAACTATATTGCTAGATTCATTTCTCACCTAACAACTACTTGTGAGCCAATCTTCAAACTAATGAAGAAAGATCAAGTAGTCAGATGGAATGATGAATTCCATATTGCTTTTGACAAGATCAAAGAGTATTTACAAGAGCCTCTTGTGTTGCTACCACCAGTCGAGGGAAGACCGTTGATCATGTATCTGACTGTTTTAGAAAACTCAATGGGGTATGTATTGGGGCAGCATGACGAGTTTGGCCGAAAAGAGCATGCTATTTACTACATGAGCAAAAAGTTTACCGACTGTGAAACCAGATATTCACTGCTCAAGAAAACTTGATGCACTCTGGCATGGGCTACTCGCCGGCTAAGACAGTATATGCTGACTCATACTACCTTGTTGATATCTAAGATGGATTCGATAAAATATATCATCAACAAGCCCGCCCTGTCTGGGAGGATAGCTAGATGGCATATGATCCTAACAGAATATGACATACAATATACTACCCAAAAAGATATAAAGGGGAGTGTATTGGCTGATCACCTTTCCCACCAGGCTGTAGAAGACTATCAGTCCATGAGGTTTGAGTTACCGGTTGAAGACATCATGACATTAGACAACTGTGAAGGAATCAGGCCATATGACGGACCTGAACAAGGATCCTGATGGACCCTGTTCTTTGATGGAGAATCCAATGCACTTGGTAATGGTATCGGCGCCGTAATAATATCTCCAAAAGGATGTCACACTCCCTTCATGGCCAGACTTTGCTTCAACTGTACGAACAACATGGCGGAGTACGAAGCATGCATCTTCGGTCTTAGAGCTTCCATAGACTTGGGAATCAAATTCTTAGATGTATTTGCAGATTCAGCTTTGGTAATCAGTTAGATCAAAGGAGAGTGGGACACTAAGCACCTAAACCTTATCCCTTTCAACGAACATGTTTTGACATTGCTACCACATTTTGAGAAGATTACCTTCGAGCATTTCCCGCGAGAAGAAAATCAGCTAGCAGACGCTCTAGCTATAATGTCATCTATGTTTAAACTTAATTGGGACAACAAGGATCCCCCAGATCACCATCGAGCGAAAGGATGAACCATCACACTATCACGAGATCAATACTGAAGATGTAATGGACCAGCCTTGGTTTCATGAAGTCAAGAGGTATCTCGAGGACCAAGAATACCCAGAAGGAGCTTCAATCAATGATAATAAGTTCTTAAGGAGATTCTCTGCTAAGTTCTTCTTGAGTAATGGCATCCTGTACAAATCCAAGATTGAAGAGGAAAAGATCATGGTTGATCTACATGAGGGAAATTTTGGTACTCATTCCAGTGGGCATACGATGGTAAAGAAAACCCTAAGGGGAGGCTATTATTGGTCTACCATGGAAGCAGACTGCTATCAACACTCTCAGACCTGTCATAAGTGTCAAATTTATGCTGACAAGATGCACGTACCTCTGATTCCTCTGAATGTCTTGACGGCTCCTTGGCCCTTCGCTATGTGGGGAATTGATATGATTGGAGAAATCAAGCCGACAACCTCCAATGGACACCGCTTCATCCTAGTGGCCATTGACTATTTTACAAAGTGGGTTGAAGCAACCTCATTTGCCTCTGTTACCAAGAATTTTGTTGCTTGCTTCATCAAGCAAAACCTTATTTGTCGGTACAGCATCCCGGAAAGGATTACCACTGATAATGGTACAAATCTTAACAATACTATGATCACCGCTTTATGCGAGCAATTCAAGGTTCAGCATCACAATTC